CCTGGGCTCTTTACTGCCGGAGCTCTGCTCCTGTGCGCTCCGGCAGGAAATGACCCCTGCTTGAAGAAAATGTATACTTTGGAGGGTGGACTCTATGGCACTGCACCCCTCTGAGGTCCCCGTCCTCCCCAGGCTCCACCCCCAAATCTCCAGGAGTTCCCCAACCTGGATCTGGCAACCCTGCCCCCCTCCCCCCATCGGTTGCCAGGGAGGACCTGACAACCCTATCCCAAACAAATATTAATGAGCAAACAACAACAATCTGTTGCTCTTAAAAATATTGACAGTCATATGAAATGATATGCTCTTGTACAACTAAGACTTCTGTGCAATGAAATGACAAGCCGTATTTGTTTAAACACAGGCACTGAGTAGTCCAAACAGATTTTGCTTAATCACTCCTAAAAACGGCATTTGGCAAATAATTTGAGCCAGTCCATGCAGTTCGTTTCCACTGCTCTAGGACAAGCTCAGTCCAAGAGGCAACGCAGGCCGGAGTCCAGAATTCCACAGGCTGCCTTCTAGTATAGAAAATTCTCGGAACGAATATAACTCTCTCCCCAAGTCCTTTCTGGGGAAAGTCCCGTCTGGAATACAGACAAGGAGCTGAAGTTGTAGTCACACATACACATCCGCAACAATGTTTGAGACGTACATTGATTCAGCTGCAGCAGTTCCCATAATCACAGTGGTTGCAAATGTTCTGTTGTTCCCCATGGCCACACATCTGGCTGGAACATCAGTTGCTTGCACATGGGGGGGGGGGAATGGCAGAAATCTGGCTATGTGCGCTACGGTTGCCAACCACCGGGCAGGTTCTCTGGAGTTCTCCCAGAATTACAGCTGACCTTCGGACTACAGAGATCAGCCCCCTTGGAGAAAATGGCTGCTTTGAACGGTGAACTCTTAAGGCATTCTATCCTGCTGAGGTCCCTCCCCACCCCAAACCCCACCTTCCCCAGGCTCCGCCCCCAAATCTCCAGGAATTTCTCAACCAAGAGGTGGCAACCCTAGTTTTTTTTAAAATTTTCCCTTTTTAAAAAATGCTTCTCACTGTGAAACGTACAATCCAAGTCTCCTTGCGGCTTCAGAAATCCTGGGAGTTTTTTTCTGAGGGAAAGGGTAGTAAGTTAGCTTACTGGGTCCTGCTGGGGCCAGCTTGGAGGCCCTGATTTCTGTCCACAGTGGTGCATTAATTGACGTCAAAGGAAGATCTGTGCACCCGGCTGGAATGGAACGCTCGGTCTTTTCAGCAGGGCTTGAATTTCCCTGTTTACTGACTGGCTCAATGGATTGTTCACTCCCCGTTAAGAACTCTTCCGTCGAGGCTATGCTTTCCTCTTGCGAAGTTGTTTCGCTGTTAGTGTAAATCCGTTCGTCCTTGTTCTGGATAACCCCCCAAGGAACTTTGTGATGCTCGCCTTCTGCAAGACGGTGGAGACCCAGATGGATACGCCAGGGTGAACTCTCTTGTATATTGCCAGCACAGGGCAACCCAAGGCTGACCTCCCTGATGGGAACGGGTTCTTGAAACGCTTTGGCTTTCTTCATCTTTTTGTTGACTAAAACGGTGCTGACCACAGAGCCTTCAGGAACTGTCTCATGCTCTCCTGTGAAGACAAGACATGTTTCCGTGTTATTATGAACAGCAACAAGGGACATTTAATAGGATAGGTACTAATATATTAGGAGGAAACAAGAAGCTTAATTTTTAGAAAACAACAACCACACAGATCTCTTGAAACCCACTAGTAAGGGGGAAAATGTTACACATTCCCAAAATATAAGCTGCCCCACTGGATATAGAAGAGTGTGTCGCTCCCCCTTTTCTACCTTAAAGGTTCCCTTGCTCAAAAGCCAGTCAAATCCGACTCTAGGGTTGCGGTGCTCATCTCCGTTTCCAAGCCGAAGAGCCAGCGCTGTCCGAAGATATTTCTGTGGTCATGTGGCCGGCATGACTAAACACCAAGGCGCACGGAGCGCTGTTACCTTCCCACTGAGGTGGTACGTATTTATCTACTTGCAATTTCTTGCTTTCGAACTGCTAGGTTGGCAGGAGCTGGAACTAGAGACGGGAGCTCACTCCATCATGCGGCACACTCGGGTCTCAAACTGCTGAACTACCGACCTTCCACAGCCTGCAGTTCAGTGTCTTAACCACTTGAGCCACCCCAGCTCCATTTTTCTAATTTAAGGAGACTCAAAATGGCTTCTCTTTCCCACAACAGGCACCTTGAGCAGGGCTGACTTATCCATGAGACACAGTATGCACAGTGGCCAGGGCCCACGATACTTTTAGGGGCCCACAAAAGTGTTTTAATTTTTTTAAAAATCAGAAGAAACAAAAATAAACTTTTGGGGACGAAGAAAATTTTAAAACGTTTTTCCTGACATCAGGAAAAAATTAAATGTTTAGGGCCCACAAAATCTGTTACATTTTGCCTAAAACGGGGGGGGGGGGACCCAAATGTTGAAGTATTTAAAGTTATATCAAAAAATAATTTTTAACATTAATATTATTATGGTGGGAGGGGCCCACAAAGGCAGAAGTGCCTAAGGCACACAAAAGTCATAATGAGGCCCTGCTTGTGCGGCAGGTGGGGCTGAGAGAGTTCTGAGAGAATGGTGACTGGCCCAAGGTCACCCAGCAGGCTTCATGTGGAGGAGTGGGGAATCAATCTCGATTCTCCAGATTAGAGTCCACTACTCTTAACCACTACACCACACTGGGTATATGTCTTTGTTAACTAGGGTGCATCTACCTGGGGACAATTCCCCACAGTGAACGCATTATTGTTCTTTCCTCTTTTTCTTCCCCCTGCTGCTGCCTCTCCTCATATCACTGCAGGGCTGTTTTTCTTTAGTGCCAACAACTAAGATCCGTTCCCCTGAAGAAAATGGCTGCTTTGGAGGGCGGCCTCTATGGCATTATCCCCTGATGAGGCCCCTCCCCTCCCAACTTGGAACTAGTAACCCTAGCAGTGACATAAAGGCAGGGGTCATTTCCTGCAGGAGCGCACAGGAGCATAGCTCCGGCAGTAAAGAGCCCAGGGGGTGGACACATGCAACAAGCCCCGCCCCCTGCTCCCAGCAGCCCTCAGTCAGAGCAAGAAGCAGCCAGGTAAGTTGCATAGCTCCCCCCGGTCCAAAACAGTCCAGTGGCACCTTTAAGACCAAGTTTTATTCAGGTACAAGCTCTCCCTCCTCTGTGAGGACAGATCTGCACGTCCCCCCCCCCCCAATAGCTTTTGCAATCCAAAACAGTCCAGTGGAGCCTGAGCGGTGGGTGTTGCCTTCTGACACACTTCCAGTAATGTCAGGGGGTGTGTCATATGCAAATTAGTTATGCTAATGAGTTATGCTAATGAGTGCCTGCACCTCTTTTTCTACGAAATGACCCCTGCCTAATGGGAAGCCGGTACAGAAGCCGGTACAGAAGCAGAAGTGGTTTCTAGTGCTAAGCACATGAGCCTGGCAATAGAAGGACCCCAGTTCAAATGTCACATGTCCCATAAACAGGGTAATTAATCAGCAGCTATTGCAAAATAATTTAGTATCAGAAGCTTTGTGGGGATCTTATAGTCACTGATACGGCATCTGTTCTGTTTTTTTACTCCCTTTCATATTTGCAGGTTGAAAAAGTCTAATTTCGAAATCCTGTCAAGGCTGCCTTGAAATGCTTCAATTATCCTGAACATCTCAAACAGGAGAGCGGCTTAAGTATAAAAAGCGCTTCCTACGATTACTCCATTCACGCCTCTTTCTTCTTTAACCTTTTCTCACAACAATTTGCCAACTTCAGTCTTATCTGTTTGCTTAGCCTCATTTTCTAGGTCTGATTCCAGAAGGAGTAAACACATTTCCTCCTTGGCAAGCATCTGCCACAGAATGTAATAATCATATTGCAACCAAGCAGGGTATTGTGACTTTCTCAACGCTCTGCTCGCAACTATTAGAAAAGAAATTGAAAAGGAAGTCTAGAGCCAGCTGGTCAAACAAAACTGTAAATCAGATGCGGCTGATAGAGCCTTTTTTAATAATCCCATTCGGCCAGAATATGAAATTATATTTGCTGAAGCATTATGGTAAAACTTACTGGTTGCCTCTTCACATAACTGTATTATCTGGACATTGATAAAATGGAGACATACTTTCTCTCCGTTGCTTCTCCTTCCTTTCCTACTTTGTCCATATTCAGGGGGCCCCACCTTGAGGCAATATCAGGACCACCTATGGACTTGCCTTATACTGTACTAAATCAGACCCTTGGTCCATTGAGGTCAGTCTTGTGTACTCAGAGGGACCGTGGCTGTCCACCTACCATCTGATCCTTTGACTAGAGATGCCCGGGATTGAACCTGAGATCTCCTGCATGCCAAGCAGATGCTCTACCGCTGACCCACTGCCTCTCCTCACAGCCTTAGGAAGCGGATACGGGAAATCATGAAGGGTGGCAGAGTGGGAGATGGTCAGGTCCAACTCATGGGGCACATCAGACCAGGAAATCGTTCAGGTTTTATTTTATACGTTTTAAATTGCGCTGTCTTAAAATTGTGATCTGTAAGCCAGCGTGGCCTTGACTTGGGTAGCCCAGGCTAGCCTATCCTCATCAGATCTTGGAAGCTAAGCCGGGTCGGCCCCTGGTTAGTACTTGGACGGGTGACCACCAAGGAAGTCCAGGGTCATGATGCAGAGGCAGGCAATGGCCAACCACCTCCGAATGGCTTTTGCCCTGAAAACCCCATGGGGGTCACCGTACATCAGCTGTGACTTGGAAGACAAAAAGAAACCCACCTTGAGCAATGAGAACAGGAAGGATATAAATATTTTAATGAACAAAATAAAGAGATTCTTCCGTGTATGCCTCTCTGACATGAATGAGAACCATGCAAGAACACACTTCCATTTGCTTTTGTGGGGACTGTGCGGGAAAACACCCCAATGGATCGTATCCCATGTTAATTATAAATAATATATAAAA